TAAAAAATACCAAAGTGTCGATCAAGCTTCACAGGGAATGTGCCAAAATATCGCAGAGCAACATTCATTGGTCGTTAAAAGGCCATAATTCGTGCCAATGGTGACCAATTGGAACAAATCTAAACTTATTCTAAAATTTAATGCTATATCCGACATTTTTTGCTTTCATTCAATAAAGTTAAAATAATGTAACAAATTATGGCGCTTGACTTTGTTACAGTTTTTCATCTTACCCTGTATGTATTATTTCGTTTATGTTAAATATGACAGAAAACCAAACTTTGCAAAATTTAGTATAATGTATATGTGCCTTTTTATTTCAATTTGAAAGGAATGTTACTTATCCCACGATTTTCTAGTGATTTAGTCATAGAAGTGATTTAGTCAGTGAAGTCATAGAAGATTTATTACCAAAGCTGACCTCATAACATTAGAATTAAATATTTTAGGACATTTCATTCTGAATTTTGAAAGTGTACACATTTGAAATTTACATAAATAATTTATTGAAAATTTATTGTGTTATACACATTTTTGGGCATATAACTTTGAAATTAGTGTTTCCTACAGGAACCAATTTATATGTAGTTGTTATAGAATTGTATTTGTTGTAGGTTTACTTCTACCTTCTAGTAATTCTACCAGGTTTTATAGAATTTGCAAAGCTTTTTAACTTTGGTTGAATTTAATGTAGTTATGGTCCCTGAGTATTGGAATCGTACAAAATGCTTGATTAGGATGAGAAGGTTGATGTTTTGGTACGCAACACAAAATTGAATAACTTTACCGAAATCAGAATCTAATATTTTTATACACTCCACCCATGGTACAGTAAAAAGGTAAGGTAGAGCTACCAACTGATTACAATTTTTTTCTGAGTGTGCCCGAATTTTGCCAATTTTGTGTACGTATTTAATATTTTAAAAAATTAAAACAAAATATTTTCAAATCCAATGACACGTACATTGCGGCTTGCGCATCAAAGCTATTAACCAGTTTAGCCATGAAATTGAAAGATCGAATAGTTTGGACCATATTTTTGAGAGAAAATACAGGTAGGTATTTCATTCTTTTTTCGCGCTATTTAAACATTTTAAAAATGATGGAAAAAATGAAAACAAATTGTTGTATATAATTTTGAATGAGTCTGACAGGAAGCTGGCAAAGCCTCAACGCTGTATTTCTGTAGTTTTACGAAGCTCTTCTACCTCCTTATTGTACCATATTGTAATGGAATTGACAGTTATAAACCACTTATTTGTATGTACGTATTCCCACCTTTAGGGCTGTATTTCTGAAGATTTAAAAAGCTCCTCCATATTGTACCAAGCGTAAAACTGTTGTTTTGCGGCAAAATATACAAATTTGTTTATAATATGAAATATCTGCCATTTAAGTACTAAAAACACAAATTGTGCCATAAAGTAAAGAACCGCGAGATCAGTGTGGAACGTAAAATATGGAAATTATTATTTTACATTTACCAATAAAAATACTTTTTTATTTTATTTGGTATTTTTTATCATTTTTAAAATTACTGATTTTCTTTCAAATCCAAAATGTTCAATCTTCTCATTCCATTGCAAACTGGTTAATTTTTTAATGCGCTCCACGCAATGTTCTTTTTTTGCAATAATTGGCTTTTAAATATTTTGTTTTAATTTTTCAAAGTAATAAATACATATACAAAATTGATAGAAGTCGCGCACACTTAAGATGAGGATACATAAAACGCTATTTTGACTTGCTTAAGTCATCGGCTGGTTTCTTCGTAAAATAATAAAGAAGCTTTAGATTCACTTAGTTCAATTTCGGCCCATAATTTTTACTTGTTAACCGTACGCTGTTATGTTCTTTTATGAAGAAGCCAACCGATGACTTAAGCCAGTCAAAAAAGTGTTTTATGTATACTCATCTTTAGTTTTAATGATTTTACATCATTCCTCTAAATGTATAGTTGTCGCTGTGGGTACAAAACTTATAACACTTGAATGTATTGCCAAGAAAAATCTATATATCTATTCTTGTTTACCCTAGTACAAATAAGACGATAGATTAAGCCAGTAATAAAGGCGTTTTATGTGTTCTCACGTTAAACCTTTAGACATTTTCAAATTAATATAGAAAAACTGCAATTTTTTCACAATAACTAAAAATGAAATTTCCCTCCTTCGAATTGTACACTCAACTTGTGTTTTGTAGCACAAAATATAATATTGCTTATGGTGCAAATTCCTTCCATCTATATTCTTTAAACAAAAATTTCCTTAATCACTTTTTTCATTTGACACTTCTTTCGTTTATAACATGGTACAATAAAACGATACAACAACTCCGAAAAACTACAAAATTACAGCTATTATATATATCATTTAAAACTATATACAAGCATGGTACAATAAAGACAAGTTAGGGCATAGCAATCACCTGAATACAATTTTTTTCCTTTGGCAGTCTTGTAATGTCAAAATATGAATACAGTTTTTCTATGTGGATGTATTATATGAATAATAAATAAATAATTTTAAAATGTCCAAATTCTTTTGAAATTTCAATTCATATTTACAGCTTTTAGGGATAATAAACATTAGCTTTTTGGGAAGAAAAAGAATTTTAATCGTATTGGGAACACGATATTGAGAAAAATCCTCGTCGTTCCATTAATTATTCGCGATTTTCTCCTAAATTAAAATAGTGTAAGAAAAGTGTCAAATAAAAAACCCTACTTTTTGCATTTGTTATTGGTAAATTTGTTACAAGACTCTAACTTCATTCTGCCCGACCTTGTAATTATTGTAATATGTATGCAACAAGTTGTTTTCATATATTTAATATTTTTCCTCATTTTTAAATTAAAGAGAATAGCGAAAAAAGGAAATGAATGAAATGCCCCGCTTTTCTTTCAAACCTATGATCCAAACCATTCAAGTCTCTTTCAATCCCATGGCGAAACTGAGTACAAACCATGGTAGAAGAATAGAGGTCGACGCAAAAATGCATTTCATAACAACCTCCTATTGGTGTCGTATAGGAAAATATATACAAATCTACTTAATTTTAAAGAAACAATTAAAAATGTTTGACATATCGATGTTTACAAGCTTTGGTGCGTCTACCTGTATTCTTCTACCATAGTACAAACTTAATGCGCACCATGCTAATTAAGGGTGCAAGTACATAAGAAGCTTGAAGTCATGGGTGGGCATATTTTGTGACATTTCATAAAGGAATTACAGAGCCGCACTAAAATCCTGCCGTCATTTTCCTTTATAATTTGACATTAATAAGCCTAGCCATGACTTCAAGCTTTTTATGTAATTGCTCCTTAACAAAAAAAATTGTAATCATCTGGTGCATGGTGCAATGTAATAAAGGTAACCTCATTTCAAATTAGCATTCCCAGGTTTGTATTTCCTGTAATTTACCTTGTCAAATTTCAATTCACAAAAAAAATTCCCATCTCTGATTTTGCGTGGATTTATGAATATAGATTTTGACAATGAGGTGTTGTCAAAAGTATAGATTTGAAAAAATTGGAAACATATGATTACATGACTTTACCTTGTTAGTTCTACCATGAGCTGATCTATCAACTACGGTTCTACCTTTTTATTTAAAAGTTTTCATTTCTTATTTTCATGCATTTATTTTTTAAAACTACAAAATGAATATTTAATAGTGTCACGTACCTATTTGTAGGCGCGAGGGATAAGGGGAAAGAAAATGGCAAAATTGCTCGTGCTGGCAATTCGGGTTTTTATTTTTACATGAAAATGACAGAAAGGCAATGATGAGAAACAAACTAGCTAAATTCAAAATACCTTGTAAAAGGCAAGTTCAAAGGAGAACGTTACAAATTGTTGCAAAAAAACCTGGATGAAATAATTGTGGAACCAATTTTAAAATTACTTGAAAATGGAAAATTGATAGATTAGTTCCAATATAAAACAGAAGTGGCACATTTCACATTTTGTTACATGGATATTTCGCAATTTTCGTAACGTTAAAAAGAAAAGAGAGTTCCAATAATGTAGAGCATTTTCCCAACTTTTTCGGTAGTTCTCCCAAACCTGTCATTAACCACATTATGCTATAGTTGACTGATCCCTTGGCAACTCTCCAAATATGACATATCAACCAGTGTTGCCACTAAGGAAACTGTATATTACACGCGGAGGTCGAAAATATTACACATTTGAAAAAGAATTACACATGTATCATTTTTTTAAAATAAAAATGTCAACATTTTAGTAAAAATCAGCATAAAGCTTAAACTAATTTAATTTTTTTTATTTAATTTAAAACTAAAAATATAATTCCAATAAATACACATAATATTTTTAAATAGCAACTAATACTTCTATGTTTTAGTTAACCTTTCTAGCGTCGGTCCAAAGTGTTGACCTCCATTCCTACGTATACTTTTTTTTTTTGCAAATCCAATTTTTTTGAAGACATTGGGTTTCTTAAATCTGTTTCGCAATTATTTAATGTGCTAAATATTCGTTTGCAAAAGTCTTGAGATTCCTCCATTGGCTTAACTTCATATTAATCTCTATTACAAAGAGCAACGTTTTTCAAAATGAAATTGACAGCATTGTAATATTTTCTGATCGTTTGCAATATCATGATTTTATCCCAGCAATGGGCTCGGCTTTTGAAATAACGACTTTGATGGAAAACAAGATTTTTAAATGTCGAGCATTATCAAGTAGTAGAGAATCACACTCACTTTTTGCCTTTCCCTAAAATCATCAGTTATACACCATTTTTGAAGAAATATTTGAGAAGGGAAGAATTAAATGAAACTGTTATAGATGGTTTAGCAGAAAATTACACATGAATTACATATGCCACTAACTGCACATGGAACGAAAAATTACACACGATATGTGTAAATACACATGACGTGGCAACACTGATATCAACCCACATCTGTGACGAAGTTGTTTTTCTGCACTATTCAATTGAATAGTTGAATGTCGATTTATGCATCCCTTACAGTACTTAGTTTTCCAACAGTGTTCGAAAGGCATCACAACAAGAGAATTTCTATTTCTGTGGCTGACGTAAATTTTCCTTACCCAAAAAACGCAAACAACTCCCTCTGTGAAAAAGGAATAGCAAGCACATAGCAGTCAATAAATGTAGGTTTAAATTGTCATATTGATTGTACAAAATTGTCAATTTGTTATTGAAAATCTTATTTCCTTTGGCTTCTTGCTAGAACTTGCATTCACATTTTTCGTAAAATTGGCGACAAGCTATCGTAGTGATTAGACAAGAACAACAAGGCACACTATAGTAGGTTGTGACTGTTCTACTTTCGTTGTAAGCCGTTTGTACGCCGTGTGCTAGAACAAGACAAACAGTATTTGTTGCGGAATTCAGCACAAAAGCCGGCTAGTGGCAGAAAAGAACAAACGCAATTAAATCATCGACGAACGATAGAGCAAAAGTAGTGCTTGTGCCGCCGATCAGAGGAGAGCTCCAGCGAACGGAAGAAAACGTGGTTTTGCCGCAAAAAGAAGAAAACACGAAACAGAAAAAACTGGAAACAGTGTGTAAAAAGAAAATAATAAGAAACTGAAAGAAAAGTAAAGAAGCGGGTTTTTTCTATTTGAAGTCGTATAAGGAATACAGAAATACCGTTAAGAGAAGAACAATTGCGTTTTAGTACGTGAAAAGTAATTAGCAAAGGAAAACAGAGTTACTAATTCTTGCAAACGGGAAAAGATGGAAACTCAAAACACTACTCCAACTCCTGCCGAGGCAGCCACTACCAATGGCGGCAACGCAACTCAAGAAGTCTCGTCCACAAGTAAGTCGCAAAAACCAAGATATCCAACGTAATTACTAATATGAAAATATGACTGGACGAACGAAGAACGGTGGAATACCAATACCAACTACCGGACAAATTGTGTGTGAGTGTCTCCCCGCCCATTTCTTTTGCTTCTAGAAGAAATGGCAAACAGCAGCACACAAACTTTTGATTTACAAAATTTCTATTCAATTTGAGAATTTCGTCTTGGGTGGAGTGTTTCTTTTTGATCTCTGTCTATTTTGCTTTTTTAATTCTTGGTGTGTACACATTTTGACAAGAATTTGCTGGTAATTTTGCTTCTATGGGTGAAACGAGCGACCAGCTAGCAAGCCAGTGCCAGACGGTGTGCAGTGGCAGTAGATTTTTTTCGGTAGTTTTGATGGAGGAGCTATTTGTATATACACCTCACAATAAATATACATACACAAATATTGTATGTATACGTGTGTGAGTTAGCAATGAATGACGCATATATTTCGCCTATACCAAATAAAAAAGAAAAGGAGGACAAATTTCGTGTTACTGATGATGATGTTTACCCCCATGGTGTACTTTTTGTTAGATATATATGGTCGTGCCTGTAAATTGGAGACATTAGACAAACTGTCTCGATTTGTTGTGTATTAAAATCAAATGTTTTTGCTACCTACCTATCTATACCATTCACACCAAATGACGTTTTATATGGTGAAATCCGCAAAAACTAAATTTTTTTCATGTCGATTGCAGAATTTTACTTTATTTTGAAACGTATTCTGGCCAAAAAATAGAGTGTTGAAAATCTTATTAGACTGAATATGTATTTCTTTATTTTTTATGCACACATTCCAATTGTCCAATTTCTTTCATTATGCATACCTGCAGTCTTCGTTATCATTCTTATTCGAATATCGGCGGTTTGTGGTTTTGTGTGTGTGTGCTTATGTATTTGTGGTTTTGAAATGGGGAACAAAATACCGGTTTAAAATTATCATTAGTTTTGTTGTTTACCGTGCGCTCACCAACAATTTGCAATTGTTTATGACACCACTTGTCAAACCTTACACAATTCCCTAATGTTATAATAAAAGTTACAACTCATGATTTCAAAATGTGCAGAATATTTCGTTTGAAATAGAATTATGGAATCATTCGATTATTATTGGATTAAAAGATATTAGTCTTGATTAATTGTATGTTGTGAGAATTGGATGGACATGATCAGCTGTTCGCACATCTACCATCATCATTTTGGCCTATATTTGCAAACAGGGACAATCAATGGAACATCTCTAATTAAGTAAAACTCTTCGATTTTTTTTTCGAAGCTATTTCCAGATGTGGTTATTTTTACCCTGATTCCAGGAAACTATTTTTTATGGGGGACGAACCCAGGACCCCAGATTTTTGACCCCAAAGTTTCAAAAATTCCGGGGTCAGGATAAAAATACCTACCACTGGAAAAGATTTGAAAAATTGAAGAGTTTTTACTAAATTAGAGTTAAGCCCAAACATTTGAACTTCGTTTACATTCGCCGTCTAAAATTTTTGAAATATTATAGTTTAAGTACCGATGCACCTACCTATATTCTTGTGCCACCTATCACCTATACATGCGTATCACCTACATACTATGTGTGCCACTTAAAGGTATAGGGACTTCAAAGTTTATTACATTAATACGGCAACAAAAAATCTAAAATTCCTGTTAAAATTTTTTTTACTAAACACCTCACATTGCCTTGAATTTTTAAAGTCTTTATACACAGTGAACAATGTCCTATCGTTATATTTTTGTTTTCCATTTGTATGCCTGAATGTTTTAAAATATTTTATAATGTTCTATTTTGTATTCTTATCTACTAATATATATGTTTATATTTATTACCTCATAGAGAATATCGGTCTCATTATCAACATGCACATTCAATTAACCATAACATATGTCACACAAAAACAAAATGCTCAAGACTGTTGTTATTTAATAAAACCAAAGATTAAGATTACTTGTATGTTTAAATTATCAAGTCATAATGATATCATTATTGTTTTTACAACATTTTATTCAAGTCAAATTAGTTCTAATTTATGTAGAAAAATTGTACCAATGTCTTAAAGAACGCATAATAGAATGATCGTTGTTAACTTTGGATGATGTGCATAAATTCAGCTTCTGTTTTGATTCGTGCATGTCTAACCAGGTGCAATTTTGCACAAGAAAGTCCCTGTCTCCATTAAGCTCTAAACCATATATTGCCATGTATAAAATTCCCCAAAAGGAATCTTCGAAAGGATTTCTTGAACAAGTCATATTTAATTTTGCCGAGTCCTACAACTGACACTTCATTGGTTCAGACTACAATAGCTCACAATTTCAGTAGCATACATCAAAAAGAAGCACATAGGCTAATCTTAAAAAATTGTTCCAAATTTAGGCAGATATACGGAACACATCATCATAATCATGCATTTGATTCAATGTTTATACCTAATTCAATTTGTAAAATCTTATATGTTTAAGACAATGACCTAACATAATACCCCAGCCCCTTTCCCACTTATTTCCTTCCTACCATATTTCATTATTTCTTTACTCAAGTCATTTAACATTATTTGATAGTCGAAAGGCTATAAACATTTTCGACAGCAATATTCTGCAAAAGTTTTCGCAAAAATAGGCCAATCCACATTTCTTCTTCATTCGTTGACTAAACAATAAAAAGCAAATCATTTTAAGAATATAAATAACGTAAATATACATACATACATATATTCTTTGTAAGAAAAAGAAAAGGTAAAAGCAATGCTAGCTATTTTCGTTTGCATTTGTCCGAGCGGCATATGGTTGTTGTTTGTTAAACATTACAATAACAAATATAGCTTTGGAATTTTAAAGATTTTTTCAGTGGCAAAATAATGGTCACAACTTGAGACACGCTACGAGAGGGCAGACAAACACATGTACATATTGAACATTGTATACCCCTTTCTCTTCGCCACTAAACGCTAAACAAATACAAAAAATATATGTGTGTATCCAAAAGCACGCGCCATACCGCTGCTACTGACCAATAAACCACACCAAACATTACAGCCGCCCGCCACTATATTTACCAATCTAACCACATTATCCACCATAGCACCACTTCCCTGCAAATTTGTCTTTTCACTTAGTAGTAGAGTGTAGAATAAAGAATGAAAACGTAACGAGTAAAAACACACACATATAGAAACAAAATGAATTCATCTGGTTGCGTTGAAGGTAATTCTAAATGTAATATTCAGGCTTGGAAGTGGCAAGATTTGAGGCTGAGGGTTTCTCTTTTCGAATTGTATTTGTGTGTTGTCATATATATTGGCGATGAGCACATCTAATATTAACATATATTTCCTGGCATTAGTCAGACTCGATCATCGTTCTCCATTTTATTTCAACTATCGACAATTGTTTTTGCATTTTCTTGTTATTGTTGTTCTATCCGAGACGCAGAACAACTGGAAGGTAATGATTATAAACAAAATTGAATTTTTGTATGTACAAGATGTATATATGCATGTGCATTCATATCGGTCAAATATTGTAGCTATATATTCTCTGGGTCTTGTTGATTAGAATGCAAACATATACGGACAAATATGTGTATATATAACCAACTAAAAATTAATCAAAACGGAAAGTGGATTATTAGTTTTATGTGTGGGTTTGAGTTCTTTAGTTTGATTTACTTTGGTGAGCTGGCCACGATGGCAAATCTGCTAAACAGGCCGCAAAAATGTGATATATCATGTGGCTTTTAAGTCCTTAGGTGATTCTTGCCTATCATGAATTGAGAATGTTTAACTTTATGAGTGGGATGCGACTGAGCAATCTGTTATTTTGATTCAACAGTAGTAGCACTGCCTTCATTCAGGAACGTACACAGAAATGCATATCGAAACCATTTTGGGTTATTAATTAACTTATCCATGTGAAGTATAATCGTCAAATGGTCGCCTCTGGTAACACCCAAGCAGGTACTGCAACGAAAATATATGATTATGCTGACGTAAGAGAAGGACTTTCGCCTCCTCGTGTAGATTGTCTACTGGTTTCATGAGGAGGCACCCTGTCGCAGATTTCAGAGCAGCATACTTTCAGGTCTGGATGTGCTTCCACTGTGTAGCACTAGTGTTCGAAAACCACATTGGAGCCGCATAGGTGACCACAAACCCACCCACCGCGTTATAAGAAGTCAACAAGGTTTCAAGTTGTATTTGTTGTTATTATTTGTGCCGTATAATTTTGTAGAAATTTTCACGTACTATTTTATAAATAATTGACGTAGTTGTCAGCGTCGATGAGACTTTCGATAAAAGGAATAAAAATGTGTTTATTCTATAAAAATCGTAGATGAAACAATAGTACAATGAAGAGAAGATAGGCCAACTTTGAAAAATTGCAAGTATAGAGGTCTACCTATTTGGCTTGTAAGGTCAGAATTAGTATCAAAACAATAAAAAAATAAAACAACTTGTTGCATTTATTTTGAATAAATAATAGAAAACAGCGATAACTGAATGAAAGGTCAACACTTCTCTTCAAAACCATGTTCTATATATCTCTAAAGGATTATTTCGCTACAAAAACTCTAGGTTTTTTCGATGCATACGATGAAATAAACATTTTGAAAACACCCGAATTCGAATATTTTCTAAACAATTTTGTTGTTGTTGAAAAGAAAACACATACATAAACAAATAAAGATGACATATTAAGCCAAGAAAATAAAAAAATTAAAATCATATGGTATCATAGCCCTACCTTGATATCATTGTATTATTAATGAAACTATGTAAAGCAGAGAATAAAGACATCAGGACAAGTTTATATTGAAAATCTTAAAATAAATCAACATACCTACAAACATATAATAAGAGTGAAGACATTTTAATTCCTTTTTATTGACTTATCAAGTTTTTAAGATTGTACATCAATATTAATTCTTCAAGATGATTATTTTAAAGGCGTAACACAAATAATATGTGACTGATAAAGCATTTATAACTGGAGTATAAAATTTCTGTTTTTTTATAGGCATAGCCTATTGAGTATTTTAATATTTTTAAAGGAATGCGTTCTATTTTTTATTTGATATTATCAATAGACACCAACCACTGTAGTAGACAACTACTGCAACTGAGTTTTTGTGTATATAGTAAAAATATATGTATGTAAGAAACATTTTAATTACAATATCAAAATTTCCTTATTTGTCGAAGAAGAAGTACGTCTTTCTTCTCAACGCAACCACAAGAATGTTTGAAAATGTATTGTTAGTACATCGTCCAGATGTTATAATCAATATGTAATATATTTTGACTACTCTTGTGTGTTTTCTTCTAAACTTATTCGAAAAAATATTAAACACAACATATAGTTGGTTTCATTAAATCTGTTTTTTTTTTAATAAATTTTCAAGAACATCTAACACCGATTTTCACATAGTATTTCAGTGTTGATAAATTCTATGTTGTTCCATATATAGATTTTTGCAAACCGGTTTAGCTTTCTGATTTGTTTTTGTTTGGAAAGTAAAGCCAAATACAAAGTTTGTTAACTCTCTCTCTATCCCATATTGAGGGTAGTTAAAACTCACATATTTTTTAAGAATGAATGTATGACTGTGGTGAGAATTCGCACATACACAATGTTAGACAAAAACTATACAAAATTTAAACCACATTTTCACATTTGCTATCAATGAATGTCTGGCCTCGTCCAACATAAATATTAGTAGTGAATCTTGTGTACAGGGTGAGATGAAAAAAACTGCAACCAACTTCAGACTGCTGTCATTTCTAAGCCACTCGTCCGACAGCTTTTAGAATTATTCCAGTTGACATTGTACAAAAGCATTTTAGTGAGATTTTCCGGAAAAAAAGTTATTCGTGATTCAAGCGTGATTTCTTTATATTTGGCTGGAAACCACAAGTGGCTATCGTTAGAGCACAACATTCGAGCAGCATGTGCCAAAGGTGACCGATTCGAACAAATCTAAACTTATTCTAAAATTTGATTCAATAAAATTGAAAAAAAAAAAAATTATGGCTTTTGACTTTGTTGCAGTTTTTTTTATCTCACCCTGTATATTGTGGTTCACACATTTTAAAGACGTAAAAGTGTTAATTAATGTATTTTGCTTTACATTGTAAGTTAATGTTGCATTTTAATGTTAACATTTCAGAGCATATAGCCGCCTAACATTGATAACATTTAGATTTGCTTTCCAATTTTTAACAAATAATAATTGTAATACTCTATTAACGTGTTCCCGCCTTTTCCACTCTTCTTTAAACATTGTCATTCTCCTCTTTCGGCATGCAGTTTATTCCATTTTAGTTGTAGTGAGTATTATTTGTGTCGTTGTGTTAACATTTATTTTTAGCTTTCAAAACAACGGCAGCGCAAGTTTGCATTAACACACACCACGTTGACTCATCAATCTATACCCCTTCGCCCGTCCATTGCATGTATCGTTCATGGAAGTAATCTTTAGATGATTGTTTCTTAGATTCTATGATCTCTTAAACACTATTGTGATCTTCAGTGTTGAGTTTAGCCGTCAGTTTGTCGTTCATTAACAATCGTTTTCCTATTCTGCCTTTTTCTATTTTGTTTTGCTCTGTCATTCGGCGTGGTGTTGTACAAATAGAAAAATTAAATTTTTGCCATGTTGTTTTTACTTTTGTAGAAGCATTTCGAATGATATCATAGCATTTATGCATATGATTTATAAGTGGAATAACAATTTTGAATACATATAAAAGTGAAAATGAATTATAATCTTAAACATGGCACACATATATACATATATACCGATATTTATTAGGAATGACTGAAAAGAAAAGAAACTACGCTACGCTAAGTAGCTGCCGAAAGTGAGGCATTTCTAGATGGTGAATGTTTTTCTGACACACAGGCTCTTGAAACTTGCTGCAAAATCTTAATAAAATTAGGCCAGTTAATTTTAATTAAAATTTAAATATGAGTAATTGGAGAAAATATTAATTGAAGATAATTTAATGGCGGAATATTTTTGTATTCGATGGGTAAGTGGAGAATGTATTGATCAATTTTAAACGAAAATGAAATTCCATTTTCTGGCGGTATACGTCAGAGGAGTTTTATTTTCGTAGGCCTAAAACAAGGACGTTCAAATGGCTAGAGAATCAACAAAGATCATTCCTGACCGTTTTTAAGATGCGTAATATAAAAGACTGAATAGACCACAACCTTGTATAAATGTTATACTCTTTAATGCAAAAGTAAAAAGATAGAATTCGGTTTATGTGTAGATATAATTAAGCCGTATTAAGATTTAGGCTTATCGATCTTCTTTGGATTGATATTTCATATAATAAGGAAGTTTCATTAAGTAGTTCGACACTCTTATCGTTTTTAGGCAACACAGGACGGACCATACATTAATATTTTATTGTAATTATTGATTTTGATTTTACTATCATCTTCCGTTTTAGCTCAATCTGTGGAGCCTACCAAACGCTCGCTTCGCCTACAAGCATGGAAGAAATTCAGAGAAGCAAATCAAGGTTTGGTTAGAGGTGGTGTCTTCAATCGTATGCCCAGTTTTGTGGACAACGATAAGGCCATCACTTTGTTGACCGAAACCGAGGAATTTAAAAAAGCCAGTAAGTAACTTGTCACTTCAAGTGATCCTATTTTACATACATTTCAAAACCTTATTATTATTTTTTTACAGAGGAAGTCAAAACACAAATGGATCGTGCTTTGATTGGCGTCAAATTGCAAACATTGCTGGCCGGCAAGAATTTGTATTTGACTAGCACTCGTAAATCGAAAGCGCTGTTTTTGAAGGTCGACGTGCCCGCCGATGCTGACGATGAGACAAGGAACAAAGTATTGAATGTCCGAAATGTTGAGGAATATCGTACCGAAATCGGCAAGTTCGATCCGTTGGAGTTTATAACTCTTTTAGAATCTAATATATATATTTTTTTATAAACAGGTCTTGACAACAAAGTTGTTTTGGACTTGGTCATCATTGGTTCGGTAGTTGTATCTCGCGATGGTTATCGCATTGGCCGTGGCAATGGTTTTATTGACTTGGAAATTGGACTTCTCATTGAGGCTGGTGCAATTACAGAAAAGACTCTCATTGCCACCTTGGTCCATGACAGCCAGGTTGTTGATAGTTTGCCAACAAATCTCTTCCAAAAACACGATGTACCTGTTGATCTAATTGTGACACCAACTGAGGTAATTCGTGTTGCCAAACGTCTACCACGTCCCACCGGTTTGTACTGGGAATTAATTTCTGAACGCCGCCTCAAAATCGTAGCAGGACTTGAATTGCTAAAAGAAGCTCAGGAAAAAGAAGGTAAAATTATAACGCTCAAGGAAGAAGACACAGATATTGAGCAGGGTCACAATCGCCGCCGTTTCCCACAACGTCGTCGTTTTGGTGGTCGTGGACGTTATCCCCGTCGCACAGTATCGCAAAATAATGCATCAGATCAACAACAAGGTGACAATGCTCAGCAGCAAAAACGTAATCCATCTCGTAGAAGACGTTTTGTTAACCGTCGCAGACGCCCAACAAAGGTAAGAGACGTTGTCGTGATTTTTTACATTATCAGAATTCATCCACGGATATACTTTGGAGTGAGTCCTTAATATCACTCTGATTTGCCCCTCTGTTGGAATATTAATGCTGTGATTATTGAAGAATGATGAGGACCAATGTTCTCATTTATTTTTAACCGTAATCATACAAATTTATCTCAGTCGCAAATGAAAATCTTCCTAGTTTATATTGTATGGATCAGCAATTTTTCTGTAGGATTATTTACCTTCAGTGTAATCTAGAGAATCCACAGATATACTTTGGAGTGAGTGCTTAATAACACTCTGATTTGCCCCTCTGTTGGAATATAAATACGTGATTTTGAAGAATGATTGGGGCGATATTCTCCAATTTATTTTTAACCATAGTCATACAAACGATTCTTCCTCTCTAAATTCGTCTAACATGATATTGTATTTATTTAAATAGTTAAACAAAGGATTGTTGTCTTCAGAGAAGTATTCAGTATCCAGAGATATACTTTGGAGTGAGTGCTTAATATCACTCTGATTCTGATTTGCCCCTCTGTTGGAATGTAACTACAAGATTATTGAAGAATGTTTGGGACAATTTTTTCCATTTATATTTAATCATAATTATGTAAAGTTATATTCAGTACCCACAGATATACTTTGGAGTGAGTGCTTAATATCACTCTAATTTGCCCCTCTGTTGGAATATTAATGCTGTGATTATTGAAGAATGATGAGGACCAATGTTCTCATTTATTTTTAACCGTAATCATACAAATTTATCTCAGTCGCAAATGAAAATCTTCCTAGTTTATATTGTATGGATCAGATTTTTTTCTGTAGGATTATTTACCTTCAGTGTAATCTAAAGAATCCACAGATATACTTTGGAGTGAGTGCTTAATATCACTCTGATTTGCCCCTCTGTTGGAATATTAATGCTGTGATTATTGAAGAATGATGAGGACCAATGTTCTCATTTATTTTTAACCGTAATCATACAAATTTATGTCGGTCGCAAATGAAAATCTTGTATGGATCAACATTTTTTCTGTAGGATTATTTACCTTCAGTGTAATCTAAAGAATCCAGATATACTTTGGAGTGAGTGCTTAATATCACTCTGATTTGCCCCTCTGTTGGAATATAAATACGTGATTTTGAAGAATGATTGGGGCGATATTCTCCAATTTATTTTTAACCATAGTCATACAAACGATTCTTCCTCTCTAAATTCGTCTTACATGATATTGTATTTATTTAAATAGTTAAACAAAGGATTGTTGTCTTCAGAAAAGTACTCAGTATCCAGAGATATACTTTGGAGTGAGTGCTTAATATCACTCTGATTTGCCCCTCTGTTGGAATGTAACTACAAGATTATTGAAGAATGTTTGGGACAATTTTTTCCATTTATATTTAATCATAATTATGTAAATATATCTTAATCTGGAATGAAAGTCATTTTAGGTTGTATTGAATAGGTCAGACATGTATATACATATATACTTTTCCCAGTGATATTTCAAACCATAGCCATACATATTTATTTTGATATTGTATGTGATAGAATTATATTTGCCTTTTGAGTTATATTCAGTACCCACGGATATACTTTGGAGTGAGTGCTTAATATCACTCTGATTTGCCCCTCTGTTGGAATATTAATGCTGTGATTATAGAGGAATGATGAGGACCAATGTTCCCATTTATTTTTAACCGTAATCATACAAATTTATCTCGAACGCAAATCTAAATCTTCCTAGTTTATATTGTATGGATCAGAATTTTTTTCTGTAGGATTATTTACCTTTAGTGTAATCTAAAGAATTCACAGATATACTTTGGAGTGAGTGCTTAATATCACTCTGATTGCCCCTCTGTTGGAATGTAACTACAAGATTATTGAAGAATGTTTGGGACAATTTTTTCCATTTATATTTAATCATAATTATGTAAATATATCTTGGTCTGGAATGAAAGTCATTTTAGGTTGTATTGAATAGGTCAGACATGTATATACATACTTTTCCCAGTGATATTTCAAACCATCGCCATACATATTTATTTTGAAATGGTATGTGAATGTATGAATTATATTTTCCTTTTGAGTTATATTCAGTACCCACAGATATACAGGGTGAGATAAAACAAACAAAACTGCAACAAAGTCAAACGCCAAAATTTATTTTAAATGTTCTTTAATAAAAGCAAAAAATGTCGGAAATTGCATCAAATTTTAGAATAAGTTTAGATTTGTTCGAATTGGCCACCTTTGGCACGAATAATGGCCTTCAAACGGCCAATGAAACCGTCACACGCTGCCCGAATGTTGCTCTGCGGTATTTTGGCCCATTCCCGGCGAATCGCTTGCATGAGGTGATCGACACTTTGGTATTTTTTATTCAAATTTAAATGCTACCACGCTTGAATTCCATCACGAATAACTTTTTTTCTGGAAAATTCTCACCAGAATGCTTTTGTACCCTTGTAAGCAATATAATGAGCTGTCACTGACAATGACAGCCGTCTGAAGTTGGTTGCAGTTATTTCATCTTACCCTGTACTTTGATTTCTGATTTGCCGCTCTGTTGGAAAATAAAAACATGACTATTGAAGAATAATTGGGACAATTTTCTCCCATTCATTTTTAATTTAATTAATTTGTTTTTAATCATTGTCTTAAGAGTTTTAATAGTCAATATTGAATTACTTTTAATATACCACATATATGTCTATCCACTACTGATTGGTCACTAAATGTTACTCTGATTTTTGTCCCTCTGTTGTTTTGAATTATTACAATAAAAACCACATTTGTCTTTTGCTGTATCCTAACTTGAATGTTTTTTGTGTTTTTTTTCAGTCCGAAGGTGACCAATCTGGCGTTGAATCCAAGAGCCAAGAACGTAAATCAGGCGGTGAAGGTGGCAACAGAAGACTGAGACAACGCAAAAACCGTCCACAACGTGATTTCTCAGTTAAACTCACTAATATCTCACGTGATGTGCGCGTCAAGGATTTGAAGTCGGAATTGCGCAATCGTGAATGCCATCCAATGGCCATTACATGGAAGGGTAAGATTATTAAATCACATTAGTATTGCTCTAGTTTATTGTCATATCGATGTATGTTATAATCTCGCCTTTACAGGTAGCTATGGTCGTTGCTATTTGCACTTTGGTAATCGCAGTGGCCAACCCAGCACTGAAGAGGATATGAACAAAGTGTTGGAAGCCTTGAACAATCTCTCCCTGACCATCACGCCACCCGAAAAGAGTGCTACTGAAGGTGGTGCAACAAATGGCGGCGAAGAAGGTGCTACTGATGCCAACAACAAGCCAGCACCCAAAGTTGTTAATCTCAATGTTCAGCTGATCAAGTACAGCGATAAGGCGGCAAAGAAAACCGGCGATTCCGCCAATGCTGCTGCTCCTGGAGCCGGTGCCGCTGCCACTGTTAATGGCGGTGAGGCAGCCGCTGGCGGTGATGCCAGTTCCGCACGCATTGAGTCTGTCGATACCACAACGGTATAGTGTGAGATGCGAGCTGTTTTAAAACGGCTATATTTTTGGTTTGGATATTTGGAAGCGTGTATTTTAGCATCAAATGGAGAAATATATTTTTAGCATTCATGACGCCTTATCATCAGCGTCTAATTAACTTTAATATGAACGACGAACAAATGCCTATAATGACCTCAATTGCTATTAACATTTATTACTCTTCACATTATTGATAACATTTTCAAATATAAATAATTTTTTTTTCAAATTATACATAAATATTGTTATAATATGATGTCTAATTTGCTTTAAAAATACTTATTTTCAATTGCTACAACTGATTATCGTCCTGTTCATTGCATTTTTGTTATAAAATTTATCAATACTCCTTTTTTTTTAAACTTAGCTGCGGAACTTGTCTCCATGGTTCCTATTGTTAGATAGTTTATAATGTTGCTGGAATCAATTATTATTTTGTTTTTTGTTTAAGCTTTTTAACAATGATTATTGTTTTATTTTTGAAATGCTAAAATACACGTTGTCCAAATGCCCACTACCGCGCAACAACAACAAACAACTATTCTTGAAATGAAATTGCTGCGTCTCATGCAGATGCAATACGCTTTTTCCGACAGCTGAGCTGTCGGCTTAGGTTGCGTATATGTGTCTGTTAAGCGCACTTTTTCAAATAACATTGTAACAACATCAAAAGAAAATCAAGAACATCAATTGATACTTATTTTATATTGAAGAAAGAGAAGAAAACAAAACTTCAAAAAAAGAACAAAACTACATGAAAAAAAAAAAATTAAAAACTCAATTATTTAAAAAAAAAAATATATGCAAAAAAAGAATACTTGAACTAACTAACAACAACAAAACTGTTCATACAGAAACAAAAAGAAAACATGTCGAATGTCATCATCGAGTATGTTACTTTTTTTAACATTACCGTATTTTTTTTATTTTTTTTTAATTTGTTTAAAAAAAGAAATTCTCTACGACATTATTAAATTTTTAGTTTATTTTCTCTCCCCTGTAACTTTCACTTTAGTACACATTTTTTGTTTTAACATAAACAATATACATTTACACAACTCATAAAATAAAAATTACTTTCCTTTTTTATACAAACAAAATTTAAACAAACAAAACTTGTGAAACTTGAATTAAAACATGAAATATATATAGAAACTTTTTTGAACAATTATTGCCATGTGTGTGTTTTTTGTTATGCTTATATATAAATATATATAAATACATATATATACACATATATGTGGTCGGATCCGATTTCCGTCTTGTATCTAAGGAATATAAACTAAAATTAATAAGAAAATAAAAATCTCATATTGAATACTACATGATCGATCTTTACCCACCAACGTTGTTTTATAACGTTGGCCTCCTTGAATTGAATTACTTTTACCGAATATCATAAGAGTAATTCATCCGCAAATGTGCTATAGCATATTGATTCTATACTAAGGTAAATTATTGAATTTAGTTATAATAAATTAAAAGTAAATAAACATGCTATAAAACGTAACACAATTCCTTTTTGTTATTATTCTTTTTATTTTTTACTCTGCGATTGTACAGGTTATTATTTGCATTATTTATGTTCATGCCAAGGGAGATAATAGGGAGACACACTTTTCCCTACCATATACAAATATCCACAATGGTAATAGATCGTTTTGGTTAGCATCAGAGTATGAGTATCCACGAACCTGAAGTAATGTCCACAATAAAGCATCGGCTTGTAAACCAATGTACATTTCGCTTGTATACATTTTGTATAACATTTGATGTACAATGTTTCGTGCGTATAGAAACAAATGACAATTTGAAAAAGAACTATTGGTTATGGTCAGAATATAAGCCTTTTGGAGATGATAGCATAATATTTAGGCTTGAAATGTACCAAAAACTGAAAAATTCACTGATTTTGCAGTTGCTCTATAGGACCAATCGACGCGGAAGTTAGCATGGGACTAGAGCTTACGGCTGGGCAGAAGCCTTCCAATGTGGATGATCATCGGATAATATTGAGTGGGTGAAATAGACCATAACATTTGTGTTAAATAAAAGTAAAATTGTTAATCCGGGCGAAATCACAAATAGACGAATAGGTCAATTCTGTACGTTACGTAGATGACAATAGTAAATATATCGGAAATATATACAAAGGAAAGGGATGTTGGCTAGAATGCTTATATCTCAAGAATGGCTTTACCGATTTTGGCATAAAAGAATAAAATCCAAAAAAAAAAAAAACCATATAAAGATGCCAATAATGATGTTTTAATTTTTTTTCATATATTTTATCGCGTGCGATTTTTTTAATTTGACTTATAATATTAAAGTGTATGTTTTGTAATATTTTTTCACTTTACAGCACAGGTTGGGATTATTATATACAGATTACAATTATCGTCCGATCCTCAAGAAAATTTTCAAGAGTAGGGTTAGGCTCAGAAGGGCTAGGCCTATTGTTTTCAAAGATGACCGCAATATATTTAGGGGTTGAAATTGACCAAGAACAAAGAATGTTCCTGACTTTTGCAACTGTTATAAAGGTCACAAATAGAAACCAAAAGACACGAAATCTCGCATGAAGTTAGAGTTAGGACAGCGGGTAGAATGGGTCACTACTTTTGTGTGAAAAAATGCCAACAGTCTAGCATTGTGGATGGTCATTGGATTATATTTAACTGTAACTAAATGCGCGACGGGGTGCGCAAATATTGGGCAAATGTCCTGGTCAAAAAACTAAGGGTAATATCTGGGTAGTGTTCCGTGACATAATTTCAAAAGCGAAACCTTTCAAAATGGACTTGTGCATAAGGGGACTTTTACCATATTGTAGTGTTGTAGGGTATCTCATGGTCGGCCCCGCACGACTATAGCCTTTGCTTACTTGGTTTTTCAACCATTCTGTCTAAAAAAATGATATTACTTTCACGCGTCAACTTGAAAAAAGGTCGAGGAAATATTAGTTAAAAAACTTATGCTAAGTTCACATGATGGCACGTGATTCGCTCTCTATTCCTTGTTCGACCATTAATTAAGAAATATTTATCTAATTCCCCACACAGAATTTGCTGTTCTTCGTTCCATTCAAATCACTCTCAGAACTAAGATGAAATGTGCGCCATCCCTAACAAATGAGAGTAGTTATTGAAAGAATAAATTATGACATTTCAAAATTCAAAATAAAAAAATTTAATTTTAAATAAAAAAAAAATTATGGATTGAAACTATGTGGTCAGCTATGCGGCCAGTGTGGTTTTCGAATACTAGTGCTACGCAGTGGAAGCACATTCAGACCTGCCAGAATGGTGCCCTGAGAACTGCGACAGGGTGCCTTCTCATGACACCAGTGGACCATCTACATGAGGAGGCGAAAGTCCTTCCCATACGTCAGCATAATCATATGCTTTCGTTGCAGTACCTGCTTGGGTTTTACCGTGAGAGTCATCGCAACCATCATATGGTGGATACAACTCCCACACCCACGATCTAGAGATGGTGGTCCAATGCTATAAGAAGGAAGCCCTAGATTAAGAAGCCTATCAGGCGGGTCGGAGAGACATTCATACCGAGGCATTCGCAGATGCTTTTAACAGTTATGGAATGAATGCCGCCCTCGGAGTCCATCCCTCATCCATTTCAGCAGAAGAACGCCAGCTACCTACACAAACCAGGGTAGTTTTGGAGCATTAGGTTCAGGATGGTGTAGCCATCCCTATTCGTATTGGGCACGAATTGACGAAGATGTGCGTGATGTCTGCCCGGCGTGTGATACAGACCCGCACAATTCGCTGCACCTCTTTAATTGCACAACCAAACCTACGCAACTCACTCTGGCTACAGACCATTAAAGTAGCCGAATATTTAAACTGGGAGCTTGAACCAGATTAGCAGAAGCAAACACATACATGTACTACTGCTACAACAACAACAATCATTTTCACAATGGGAGGGAGTATTATATGTAGTAATATTTGTATCACCATGAAGTTAGTTGGGGAAATAGAGAATATTATTAGGACATGGTACGAAGGTATGAGGATTTTACCCACAAAAGTCGTAATTTTTAAAAATAATCATCCTAATTCTGAATGAGTGGATTTTTGTCCTGCTCCCACATTCTTCTATTTTAAATAATACTGTGTGATGGATGGAAGCTCCATTATCAAATTATACTTACACTTTTTTCGTACAGCTTTTAAGACAAATAAAATTAGACACCTCGTCGACTATTATTTCAAAATGTATTTTTCAAATAAAAATAGATAGCTCTTAGCACAGTTACTTTTCTTTTGTTACAAACATATATACAATATTAAAAAATACTTTTTTCTTTTAATTTCATTAGCTTCGAAGTTTTTGTTTCTGTTTTTTTTTTTGTATCTTAATATAAATCTAATGCAAATATTGTGCATGTTTTTCTTTTCTACAGATGAATAAACACATACATACACACACCTACATATGATGGTATGTATGGTTGTGGTATATAACAATTATTGGGGCTAAAGGTGCACATTTATAAATTCATAAATTTACATATAATTAATTTAGTTTCATGTGATCTTTGGTATTTTGTTTGTTTTGTTGTTGGTCATGTTTAACGGGAAATTTTACAATTTGTAAACTAATTGATATTTTTGTTAACTGGGTTCCATTTAAAACCTTGGTTTCTCATTTTGATTTTATTGGTGAGTTTTTGATTTGTTTTCGGCTAAATATAAATTGTGTAATTGGGGAGTGTCGGATGAAATATTGATTTGAAGGGGTTTCCAAAAATAATTTAATCACTTGTCGTAATTTATATCTTAAACCCATTATTGGGAGTGCTACTTGAAAGTAGGGAGTGTGTTAAATTTGTTGTAGCAAGTAAAAAAAAATATTCCGAATTTTTAACACCTTCTATCACTTTGGAAAACGAATTTAAACAAGGATCCTTAGCGCATATTAACGTAACATATTGTTGATTTTTACATTATAACAAAACCAGTAAGGAAAGGTGAAAAGTCGGGCGGGGCCGAGTATATGATACCACACCACTATTCGTATTTAGTTTATATTGCGAATTTATGTGAAGTAGATCATACCAACTATGAACCAAATAACATGGCTGTATAGTGCATGATATGACTTGGATAAGGATTATAATGTAAAATATTTATTGGAGCAATAGATATACCGGACAGAGTTTCACAAACTGGTAAAATTCGGTTAAATATGAAAAAATCTATTCAATTTGGGCTCATATTAGCGTAAAATCGGGTGAAGATGCATATCGAAGCCACATAAAAATCTGAACCGATCTCGATGAAATTTGGCAGGAGCATTTTCGAGCAGTAACTGATGACCAATATCAAATATCGTTATTGTGGAGTTCATATTGCGCATGTGAGGGACTTTAACACCAAATCGAAAGAAAGATTTATATGGGAGCTATAACTATATCTGAACCGATTTGTGAGGTACTTTAAGAAACATTTATACGGGAGCTATATCTATATCTGAACCGATTTCCACTAAATTTGATGATCTTGCTTTTAAGCCGAATTCCGTCGGAAATGCCAAAATTCAGTCCATTTGATGCACAATAAACCTGAAATCCGCCAAAGATATAAATAGGAACTATATATAAATATGAAACGACAAAATTGAAACACTTATTTCTGAGATATATCTGATATCTGCTAGCAAACATCATTATTGTGGAGTGCATATTACGTATGTGACGGACTTAAAACTCCAAATCAGATGAAACATATATATGGAAGCTATAGCAATATATGAAAAAATGTTCTCCAAATTGTATGTACTTGCTTGTAGACTGAATTCGGTTGGATGTATCAAAATGCAGGTCATTTGGATTTATATTGGCTATTTGGTATATATGAAAACTGTGGGTGAAGTTTTTTACAAATTCCTTGGATTTTGGAAATTAAACTAAATCTACATCAAGAGCCTAAGAGAAAGATCCGAAAAAAGTTCGTAAAATTAATTAATACAAAATTTAAATTTTTGCTGAAAGGACCTTAATTTTGGATTTTTTGCGTCGTTGTGGGCTTTATTGATGTGTCACTAATATCCAACAAGAGGATTTTATTGCCATAGTTGCATATTATTTAACATCTACGAAAAATATAATGCACGGAAATATTACTGCCCTATGCTAATATACATCTCATGTTCGATAGAAATCTCACACCCAAGATTGTCAGAAAGGATCTGCGTGACTAAGAGAGTAGGTTCCAATTATATTAAAGAGAGAACTCCTAAATCAACAAGTCTATCATAGTTCACCCTTAATCTGCTCTTGATGAAGAGTTTCGGCTTCATAGACAAACCGGGGTACTCTCTACACAACTACTTTCAGGACGGTGCAATCTTCTTTACACCATTGGATGCTGATCGATGGAGATAGGCATAGGATCTGTTCAGTGTTCGTGTCAGAAAGGAACTACGTGATCAAGAGAGTAGGTTCCAATAATATTAAAGATAATATTAGGTTCCAATAATTTAAAGGGTTCCTAAATCAACTAGTCTACCATAGTTAACCCTCAATCGGCTCTTGATGAAGAGTTTTGGCTTCATAGACAAACCCGGGTACTCTTTACATAACTACTTTCAAGACGGTGCAACCTATTTTACACCATTGGGTGCCGATCGATGGAGATGTGCATAAAATCTGTTCAGTGTTCGGTACACACCGACTGCATATATCCAACAGACCCGCTAAACGCATCCAACATACTTTAGCAGATCCAAGTTCGTATCCTAGGGATTAAACTGAATTTTAGAACGTGGTTTTGAAACTACAACCGGATAGGCAGAACAATCCCATTCAAATCTTCAAAAAGAAGCACAAACACAAATAGCTGAAAGGCCTTGGAAAAAATTTACTGCGTAACTCTTAGTTTTCAAACGTTTCCAATATAGAAAATCCGTTTTTAGCTGTGAAAACCTCCTGAGATTGTTTGTACATGTGAGGGTGTAGGTGAAAGTCGAAAATGCAACACATATAGCTATAAGGATCGGGAAAAAATTTAAAAATTCTGTTAAGAAAAATCGATGTTTATGTATCTCGAAGAAGCTTTAAGAATTTTTCAAGTATTTGCATAGATAAAAGATTTTATAAATAGAATTGGACTTTTAAAACTTCTCAAAGTCCATTATATACTGAATGTTTTCAGTAGATTGAACCCCCTCTATAGGTGATCAAGGACAGAAAAATATTACTCAGTTCTCCAGCAGATAGAAGACTGTTATTAAGAGTTCTTCGGCTAAAATATGGAATGCAATTAATTTCAGAAGCTATTTGATCCATTTATAACATTACGTTTGCTAGGTCTTTATCATTGGTACTCTTTCCATGGACATTAGATAGTCAAATAGCTTTTCGCGATTCTATGAATGGAATACCTTACTTGGATTCACAATATTTAAATGTTTTTTCAATTTTTTTCCGTAGGTAGAAGAGCTTCGTTTTCGATCTTAAATCAATTTGATTTCCATATGTTCCATATGTTTTACTACGTACTATCACCACCACCGCCACCACCAGCGAGGGTATTTGGTGAGGGAGAACGATCTATAAATTCTAAACTTTCGGTATTCTTAGATTTTCTCGAATCAGATCTCTGACAATTGGAGCACATTTGTAAACTGGAACTAAGCGTTGTCATTGTTGTCGATTTCTTTGACGATTGTCGAACCATATTCGTATTTGTCATCGAATCGTTTGGTGTGTTTTCATGCAGCGTGGAAGACACAGTTAAATTTTCGGAAGGTTTTTCCATTATGGGTGCCAATGTCGTTACCACAGAATTCGCCATGGCCTCCTCCAGTTCACGTTCCCATTCGCGTTCCTTCTTTTCCATGTCCTTGCGTTTGAGTTCCTTAAAACGATTGTAGACTATGAATTCCTTGACCAGTGCCGTTTCCGGATCACTGTCACGCTGCGCTGACCGTTGTTTGGCGAGCCGTTTCTTCTTTTTGTGTAGGGGGCGGGTTTCAACAATCATTTCCTCGAGTTCAAGGCAGGGATCACAATTAAGATGGTCTTCGGGGGGTTTGAAGGGAGGTTTCGTCCTTTTCTCCAGAACTTCCTTGAAATCGATATGTCTCAGCAGTGGAGTTTGTTGCAGTTCTTGCTGGGAACTTATGCGACCGCCCGGATGCACGCAAAGCAACTGTAAAACAAATAATATTGAAACAAATACAATTTTTTCCAATTAATTTGCCTTAATGGCCAGCCGCACAGCCAACCAGCACCCACACTACTAACCTTCGTTAATAAATCCACAAAATCAGGACTCCAATAGCGTGGATAATGTACGGGCGAACTTAGTATGTGCTTGACATCCACCAGCGCCGTATTTGAGTGTACCGAAAATGGTCGTATGTTGGCACGCATCTCGTATGCCACAACACCCAGAGACCACCAATCGACAGGATATGTGTAGCCAGCTGAAATGGAAACGAAAAACGACATGCATGAGACAATAAATTATTGCTGCTCCGGGTGGTGTCAATTTGGATGAATGAAAGTAAATAACGTCATCGAATAATTAAAGTTTATCCTGCGGACAGCCAAACAATTATTTTGAACTCACCCACTTCGTCCAGGGCACACATAAATACTTCGGGTGCCATGTAGGGTTTTGTGCCGGACATGCTGCATGCCAGAGCATCCTTGGCCAGTCTTGTTGCAATGTTAAAATCAGTCAAATGTGCATGACCTGCAGCGAAAAATGGGGGAGAAAAAGAAGAGAAAATAAAATAATAAAATCTGATTTCCAGGAATTTATGTAAGTGAACGATTTATTGTTTGTAAACGGCAAAAAGATGTTGGATTTTGTTTTAACAAAATTCCAATTTTATAAAATAAGATTTCTAAATTATACTAGATCTGCTGGGGCGCAAATATTGTGCAATAAAGGAAGGTGGAATAAAGCTGCCTTCTAAATATAATGTAATTTTCAAAAAGCACAAAGGGCGTAACCCACATTATTTACAGGTTAATCAGTAGTAGTCCAGTAAAAATAGATATTTGAATATGCAAAATTTTCCACAATGAATTTGAATTTTGAAATGAAGGTAGAGTTTACCATTGCAAGAAGTTATTCGCGTCCAAACATCGTCCTTTGTGAGGAGGAGTCCACATGCGGGAGGTTTAATAAAAAAATTAAAGGATTTTATTTATTTATTTATGTAACAAAATGTAAAAAAGATCATTCTGATTACAGAAAAGATAGAAAATAATCTACCAATATTACGATAATTTTTTAAATAACTTTATAATTTTTATTCGCTCCGAAAAAATTCCTTTATAGATTTTTGATACAAGTTTGCTTGTTTTTCATTAACAAAGCGATCATGTTAATAACTTTCTAGTTGCTTTAAATAGCGAAACGCTTTGAAATCTAACTGCACAAATAATTTTAAATTTTTGAGGTATTTTATTGCTTCTAGTAAATAGTTGAATCAAACCTAGCTGTACGAAAGCATTTTTGAATTGTGTTGATTCTGACCCATTTCCATGCGGCTTCTTTAAACCAGTAAGGAAAAGCCAAAAGGCGGGCGGGCCGACTATATGATACCCTACACCACTATGCATATTTAGAAGAATTGTATTAAAAAAATATAAATCCGAGCCGAGTTCCACAAAATGAAAACATGCGTTCACTTCAGGTATTTTCGAGCAGTATCTGATACCCGGTACCAAATATCATTCTTGTAGAGTGCATATTACGCATGTGGGGGACTTAAAATCCCAAATCTATATCAGGACCGATTTTGTCCAAATTTGATGTAATTGCTTCTAGACTGAATTTGGTGAGATTTATCAAAATTCAGGTCATTAGGAGTTACATTGGCCGTTTGGTGCACAATTAACCCGAAATCGGTTGAAGATATATGGAAGTTATATCTAAATCTGATTCGACTATCACCAATTTCAATAAGGCTCGTCCTTCGGCCAAACAAATAATTTTTGGAAAATTTCATCTCATTCGGATAATTAATGCGACCTGCATTTTGTTCACAAGAATTCATGGATGGAGGGGCGGAAGGACGGACAGACGGACTAACATGCATAAATCGACACAGAAAGTGATTCTATAAATATCCTTAAAAGTAACTAGGGGTCTATCTTGCTTTTTCTCCCTGTTACAAACATATGCACAAGACATAATACCCTTACCACTGAGTGGTGCAGGGTATACAAATATAGATTCTAGGATTTGTTTGCAGTGTCGGAATGTGAGCCTAAATTTGCCAAAATATTTTTAACTAAAATATTAGATAATTCCTTGATCTAGTGGCTACAGCTATCGTTTGCTGCTAATTGTTTCAGCCACTCGTTCATAATATCTCTCATTATCCACGCCTTATTATTCGTTTTTCAAACTACTTGCAAGTCAGCGTCAGAAATTTGCTGGAAAGCTCGAGGTCTAACTTATTTTTTCATTACCAAAGGCACTTCCTTCTGGCCTGTCATATTTACACAGAATAACACTGTAAATCTTTCCTTACACATTTTACCTTCTGTGCATTCCTCATTTTTATATATTAATGTTTATTGGGAAGTGCTCTGAAGAAAAGACTTCGTCAGCATTATTTTCTGGTCTGAAATCCCGGAACAATAAATCCAGTCTTTCTCTAGACTGGTTAACATCCTCTTTTCATAAACAGCAGCAGCTTCTACACATACTGCCTATTTTGTGTCTGCTCCACCACTTCTCTAGCCAAGCATTTTAAGCAACAAAAATTGTCATACCCAGCTTTGCGATAATTTCTTTGGTCTCTTCTTGAACAATTGGCCCCGACACGGGAATGTTTTGGGAACGAATTTTTAAAACCATTCGAGACACAGTCTATCAAGTTTTAGGTTTATTGGCAGTGATCTAAAAACTTTTTTTCGGATTAGTACCTGACTGCCAATATAAAAGTAAATTTTCCTTATTTTTTAAAATGTTGGCTACATGCGATTTTCCAATATCAAACCTTCAAAAGTAAACAGGACATTTCTACCTAAATACAAATTTTCAAATAAATAACAAATAATTTGTATTTAACAATAATTTGTATTAAATTTCAGATACATTCAAATAAATAACTTAACTTTTTGTCAATTCTAACCGTAACCGTAAGTTTATCTTTGTTTGGTGACAGTTTTCACTTTTTCTTTTAATGCCAAACACTATCGTTTGGATGTCTTTTTCTGAAGTTAATCAATATTTTGAACAACCGTAACTAAATGTAAATTCTGTACAAATAGAGTGGATCACTCAAATACGATTTTGAAAATTGGTGCTAGGACGACCAATTTCATTCGCGCCCACAACTAAAGATAGCATAGCAGTTTTGGATAAATAGCCACAAATATAGATGTCAAATAAGCAAAATATTTAGAAACATTTTTCGTGTTTCAAAATCGTGATATGTTGTACACATAGTGGAGGTTTTCATTTCTTAAACTTGTCCTAATTTGGTTAATTTCTAAAGTTTTAATAAAAAACGTGATTGAGGATGAGTCCTGAAGACCTAAATAAACCTCCCAGGAACAAAAGAAAAGCGCGGGTATCGGAATCTGTATGATGAACGGCCAAACTCATTTATTCGGAAGGCAATGCATTCAATGAAGTTTAGACCTAAATATAACAATAAGTGTAAAATTTAGTTAGTAGTTTTAATGGACATTTCACTTATAATGTTCCATTGAAATATCACTGTATATACTAAGCTTAACGGGGCCTACACCATAAATGGGGCCTACACCATAAAACGCATCAAAGGTTGCTACTATTCGGCTATCTATTTCAGATAACTTATTTTTTACTTACTTTTTTCTAAAGTACATTTGTAGTGTTTTTATATTTTATTTTTCAATTCGAATATTAATACCAATTTAATTGACATGATTTCTTGAGAACTGAAATTAATGACGGTTTACATGGAAGTGTAGTACCGAATTATGTAGTGGCGAAACGGAATAGATGATATCGAAATAATTTAACGTGGTCACACCAAAGTTAAAAGATAATTACTTTTTCAAAATCGCTAAAAAATCACGAAAAAGAGATCTCATTGCAAAAACTTTCAAATCGGGAAAACATCGACAAAAATTTTCAATGGAATCGTATTTTAAAATAATAGTATTCTATTCATTCTATTGACAAACTTTGTAAGGACCTTTAAACATTTGCTGTAAAAAATCAGCGAACAAGTTGAAGATTTTTTCAATTTGTTACTCTTTTTTTGTCATTTTTTTTTCAATATGTATTATCATATTGAATTCAGTGGATTTTTTGTGAACAAAATAAAGAACAATTTTTCACTATATACAATTTTTCACCAAAAAAAATGAAATAGGATGTTAACTGTCATCTACCATTCAACTCCAGGGCCTACATCGTGGTTCAGCTGGAAGATGCGAACACATTTAAACAAACTACTTCATTCATGTGACAATAATGAGAGCTCAAAATGCAAAATTCTTTGGGAGTACAATCAGTAAAATACCAAATATAAAGGGTGTGAAATAGTAAGAAAAGGATTTCTATCCTTCCAGAAATTCTTGCCAAACATTCAAGATACCTTAAATCGCTTTTGCAGGTCATGATATCGATCATAACTCACGGATAAGGGTACAACCCGATTTTATATTTATATAACCATCGTATGATTTAAGCTATTTTTGGGGTCATGGCCACTTTTTTCATTATTTAGCCCTTATTTGGCATGTTTGTTTCTAAGGGGATAGAGAACCTCTTCGCATAAAATTTGAAATTTTCAGAGTAGGGCCCATATTGGTCTTGACCACATTCATCAATTGATTTGGCTAAATTTAAATCACGCGAATTTTTTTTCATTTTGACATGCTATGTTGTTTGATTTGACCTCCATTTGTCCATATAAAGGTACCTCCTGAATTTACCATATTTCAAAGGATTCGGCTAAAAATGTGTATTTAGGGGGTGAAAATCTTACACAAAAATTTCAACATATCTACAAATTTTAGAATTTTTTCCATGTAATAGTACCCCCTCAAGTCCACCTTTTGGCGGACAAACAGACCGACATGGTTAGGGGGACTTATGAGGACTCTAATGCACAATCTAAGGTGTTAATGGGTTTAAAAAAGGAATTAACTTTGGCTATTCTTAAATCATTCAGCCCTCAATTATGAGGTGGACAAAATACAGTTAATTTCAAATTACTGCTCATTTGGCTGGAAATTTTTGCTACGATTTTTACCATACTAAAAATTACATAGGGATAAGGTTGATATATATTTTTTAATAGATTTGTATAGCACATCCACACATTTAAAGCCCACGGTTCAAATATTGAAGCTCACGGCTTAAATATGGGTACAAGTATTTTAAAACACTTTTAATTGACCAGTACGTGAAGTCTTGTATCAGTCATATCTTTGAATAATTATGCTTTGACAAATATGCATAATAGACAAAAACTACGGGCCGGCAACGCGGACCGGCCAGCTAGTAATATATATATATACTAATACTTAGTAATTCTCCCACAAAAGGTAAACATTTTTAAAAATTACCATAAAAAAGTGTGACTACTACCCTCTTTAAGCTTCGCATTTATCAATAGGTCTGTCAATATAGGATAGATCAGCCGATTTTGCTGGTAATACCTCCTCCACAAAAGGTAAAGAAAGCATTTAAAAATAAAAGGTATCGGAATTGAATATTGGGTTCACTTCCAT